CGGGCTTCTGGGAGGGGATGCCCCGCGTCTCTTGGGGAGCAGCCTCAAAGATGATAAAATCTTTCTGGAGATGCTCATCCAGCTGCAAGATGGCTGCCACATTCCCACAGCGGTAGCAGTAGTTGGGTGCCGACCACACAGTGAGCACAGTCTCATTGAAGTGCTACTTGTAACCTTCCATCACCAGTTGGTGGGCACGGAAGATCATGTCAGTGTTGTTGGCTGCATTGAACTGAGCCACCACGTCACTGCCAAATAGGTAGCCAGCCTCACAGGGGCTCACACCGCAGCATGTTGTGTCTTCAGGGTCAGACCAGAGCAGGTCACACATGGGACCATCATGAGGCACCTCCTGCTTTCGGTCAATCGTCCGGATCTGGTCAAGGGTCTGGATGGAGGGGGAGAGGCCCCTGTGCATGCAGAAGATCTTGCCATCAATGATGGCTGACAGGCTGAGGTAGTCAAAGATCTCAGTGCAGTAGCGGCACACGGTCACCAAGCCATATTTACGCAGGCACTCATCATAGAAGCCACAGACCTGTGTGATCTGACGGTTCTCATGGTTGCCCCCGATCAGGGTGATTCGATCAGGATAGTGAACCTTAAGTGCCAGCAGCAGGAGGAACGTTTCAACGCTGTAGAAACCACAATCCACAAAGTCCCCCATGAAGAGGTAGTTGGTCTCAGGTTCTAAAGGTGATTGAACAGTTGGCTTTCCTGGAAGTCAAGGATTCTCAGGACTAGTGGAGAAGACTTGGAGACCAGGAAATCCTGGACAAAAAGGCCAGATGGGGGAAAGAGGAAGAAGAAGCATGCTAAGACCAGTACCACTCCCTGATCCTATTAGGCAGAACCCTTTTAGGATCAGGTGGCTTAGGTAGGACATCTTCTGCTACCATCTCATTAAAAGGCTCTTCACCTCCAGACAAATCAGCACAACTGATTCCAAGATCCCTTTGTGGTTCCTCCAAATGGCCAGGTAGCCAAGCTTCCTCATGGTTTTCTCTCCCGGTCCTGGGTGCTGCTGCTAGGACCTCTGCTTTCATGCTCAGACCTCGACCCACTCCATACCCCTGCATCACTATCATCCCCTAACCTGGACACCTTCCATTGGCTGTTCTAACTAGAGCCAGGCTAGGAGTTCACTGACACCCCCTCACCTAGTGTCTTGCTAAACCAGTTTAATCCATTGAGTTCTAGAAATTTTATGGGTACTGACTTATGTGGGTTCATTAATTAAGAAACACTATTCTCAACCAACAAGAGGAATGACTTAAAAGAAATTTCATTCAGCATATGTTCATTGTGAACCTCCTGGAACTGGACTTGATAGCTAATAAGATAGTTATTGTGTCTGGCCTTACAGAGCTAATTGTCCTGAAAGACATAGAAATGTAAACAGACAATTATACAGTACAGCAGAGTTATATTGGAGGAAGAATAGGGTTCTATAGGTGCTTAGAGATCAATATTTTTAAATTCCTTAGAATATTAAAAAGATAATTGATTTTGATTTGCATAGTTTACCTTCTTGTCTTCTTAGGCTCTAAATTGCAGCCCTTTTCAAGTTTTATGGTGAGGTAAAGTTCACCATAAAGTATGAGCTTGGACAGTTCATTCAACACATTTGAACAAAAAAAACAAAACATTTTTTTTAAATTTCCTGCTCATTTCAAGCAAAAATTTTTTTATCAGGGTGGCTGCCAAAAAAAAAAAAAAGAAAAGAAACAAAGAAAGAGAGAGAAGAAAAAGAGAATTTCATGAAAAAAACAAAACTGATAATTTTTTTATTCTAAAAAGTATTTTATGCTTTAATTATCCAGTGTAGGTCCTGAAGGAAAAAGACATATTTCAGTAGCACTAGATATACTTTGTGTAGGTAAACAAAGGGCTGAAACAATGAAAAAGGAGAAAAGTTAAGAAAAGGCAGACAAAAAAAGGAATAAGAGGGCTAGCACAAAGATGATGGCATAGGTAAATATGGCATTCACCTTCTTCCACAGCCACATCAAAATTACAATTAAACCACAGAACAACCATCATTCAGAACAGCCTGAAATCTGGCTGAACAGACGCCCTACAACTAGAGAATTAAAGAAGGCACATTGAGACTCTAGATGGGGCAGAGGCCAGAATGGGCTGGTCGGACATCCACATATGGCAGTTAAAAATCAGGAGGAATATCTTGGCAGCGGAACTACCCCAGTGAGGAGCAAAGGGTCCCACCCCTACACCAGACCCTCAGCCCAGGATTCCAGTGTCAGAAAGAGTAGTCCTCATAACTTCAGGCTGTAAAAGCCAGTGGGGATTGTGGCTGAGTGACACAGAGGCTGCTGAAGTCCCGGGCAGTCCTTCTTAAAGGACCTGTGCACAGACTTACTCAGACTCACTGCCACTGAGCTCCAGCACTGAGGCAGCAACTTGAAAGGATCCAAGGACATACAGAGAGGAACTAAATTGTCTGCCATCAGGAAAGCTGGGGCCAGCCTTCTCCCAGACAAAATTGCTGGCAGAGGTCATGTTCCTTGGCTGAGACCCCCCACCACCCAAAATCTCTCAAACAAGCAGCAGCTGGCCTCATCATGCCCCATATCTCTGGATAAGTGGCCACAGGCCCAGCACTAGCAGCACCTTTACAAGGTTCAAAGCTTGGCCTCCTGGGCACCTCCAAGTCCAACACAAGTAGCACCTATCTGCAGATCATTCTGTAACTCGTGTCGGGTGGCCCCAGGCAGGGCATAGGCAGCAGTTGACTTTGCACCTCCCATGTGGTGCAAAGAGCCAGTGTACCCAGTAGTCAGCTTCAGACCCTGATAGTTTTCAACCCTACCACATCCAAAGGGAGGACTTGGTGAGCACCAAAGCCCCATTGAAGCAAGTCCTGCCCCATAGGGGTGTCTCCTGCACAGCAGTTTTTCTGCTGTTGTCATAGCTGTTCCTCACAGCCAATTGTCCTGGGAGTCAACCCCTCCCAGTGACAATTAAGGCTCAAATACAACAGGACAGTGCACACAGCCCATGTAGAGGCTCACATAGAAGTCTCAGCTCAGGTGTCTAGTAAGGCTGAGCCACTGGGCCCTACAGGACACCTACTACACAAGGTCACTGTACCAATTCCAGGAGACACAGCAGCTCTACCTAATACATAAAAACAAACACAGGGAAGCAGCCAAATGCAGAGACAAAGAAACATGTTACAAATGAAAGAAATGGAAGCAAGCAGACTGCTGGATACAGAGTCAAAACAATGGTTATAAGATTACTCAAGGATCTTAATGAGAGCTTCAAGGAACTTAGTGAGATTCTCAAGGATCTTAGTGAGAATGTCAAAGACATGAAAAAGGGCCAGTCAGAAATTAACTAACTAAAATAAAGAACAATTTACAGGGGTTCAACAGTAGAGTAGATTCTGAGAATCAAATCAAGGATTTGGAATATGAGGAAGCAAAAACCACCCAATCCGAAGAGCAAAATAAAAAAGAATCCAAAAATAAGAAGAAAGTGTAAGGAGCCTCAGGGACAACCTCAAGTGTACCAACATTTCCATTATGGAGGTGCCAGAAGGAAATGAGAAAGAGCACGATCTTGGTTGTAGGTCCTTGGCATTCATCACTTTGAATATTTTTTTGCCACTCCCTTCTGGCCTGCAAAGTTTCTGTCAGAAATCAGCTGACAGTCGTAGGGGTGCTCCCTTGTAGGTAACTCACTGCTTTTCTCTTGCTGCTTTTAAGATTATCTCTTTGTCTTTAACCTTTGGCATTTTAATTATAATGTGTCTTAGTGTGGGTCTCTTTGGATTCATCTTATTTGGAACTGTTTAGGTTTACAACTGAGACTAGAACTTTGATCATGAAAAACCAAGCTAATTCTTAAAAGAAGAAATGTTGGTAGGCTGGGTTGTTCTTTTTTTCTTGGTAATTGAGTTCCTATTGTATTTTATAGATCTTGTATGCGTAATCCTATGGAAAATATTATGAAAATAGTGAAAGAAATAGGAGAGACTTTCTGTCAACACTATACTCAATCAACAGATGAACAGCCAGGATCTCACATAGGTAAGAAGACAAAACTAAAGTTAATACAGCAATAAAAATAGACAGATTGTCCCCCACAAAAAAGTAGAAATTCAAGTTTTTCCTTCCCTGCTATTCTTTTTTTTTTTGAGAGAGAGAGAGAGTGGAGGTGAGGGAGGAGGGTTGGGAAAGAGAGAAAAACATCAATGTGAGAGACACATTAATTGGTTACCTCCCATTTGCACACCAACCTGGGCCAGGGATCAAACCTGCAACTGAGGTACATGCCCTTGACCTGGAATTGAACCCCTGACTCTTTGGGCTGTGGCTCTAACAACAGAGAAACCAGCCAGGGTTCCCTGCTTTCTAAATTTATCAGATTTAAGTTTATATGTTTTGTTCTTTAGTCCTTAACAGCTATGTTTTATTAACAGATTTTCCCTTTTTCCCCCCACTAAGACTTTGCTGTAAACAGACTAAAGCTTGCAGAAATTTTGTATTATAAAATACTAGAGACTGTAATGGTTCAGGAAACACGAAGACTTCATGGAATGGACATGTCAGTAAGTAAATTGCCTCTCTCAGCCTCTAGCAAGGTCCATAAATCTTAAGCTTGACCCGGCTGGCATGGCTCAGTGGTTGAGCATCCACCTATGATCCAGGAGATCCTGGATTCGATTCCTGGTCAGGGCACATGCCCAGATTGCAGGCTTGATCCCCAGAAGGGGACATGCAAGAGTCAGCCCATCAGTGATTCTCTCTCATCATTGATATTTCTATCTTTCTCTCGTTTCCTTTCTGAAATCAATAAATATGTATTTTAAAAAACATAGTATATATGTATGTCTTGAGCCTGGAAGCAGTGTGTTGTGAGGTTCTACAATATAATGCATTGTAGAGGTCAGCGGTTAAGGGCAAACTTAGCCAAGATGACTTATTAGTTGGCCTTAGTTATCTTTGGCACATCAAGAGCTAATCACATCTAAGCAGAAATGTGAAATGTCTAAAATTTGTCTTTGGTGCACCATCAGTATCCTTTCCATTCAGGTACTGTTTTTTTGTTCTTCATTCACAGTTAGCTAATAATAAACCCCCTTCCCTCAAACATTAAAGCCAACTGATAATTAAGGTATTTGTCCATACCTCCCAGGGATTTTAGAGGAATAAATTCTTGCATACTGGTTTTTTTTTTCTCTCTCTCTCTCTTAATCTATTTTTTGTTTTTTATTGATTTCAGAGAAGAAGGGAGAGGGAGAGAGATAGAAACATCAGTGATGAGAGAGAATCATTGATCGGCTACCTCCTGCATGCACCACACTGGGATTTGAGCCCAGAACCCGGGCATGTGTCCTGACCGGGAATTGAACCGTGACCATAGGTCAATGCTCAACCACTGAACCACGCCAGCTATGCTGCACATCCCCATAATGTTTTTTAGACTCACATTTGATTGGCAGTTACATGTATTTAGAATTCTAGATTAACAGTCATTTTCCTTTGGCATTCAAGTCCAATGACATTCTAATTCTCATTATTGGTATGTGTCCTGTGTTTACTTTCTGGAATATTAATATTCTGTTTTTGTTTTTGTTTGTTAATCCTCACCCAAGGATATTTTTCCTATTGATTTTTAGAGAGAGTAGAAGGGAGGATT